CTGGCATAGTAGTTAAGGTAATTGAAAAATATTCCAGGATAAGTTGCTAGGTCGTAAAAATCATATAATCCATTGAATGTACAGCGAAATTGATTTCGTGATGGATATTGCTGTTCCATTAATTTACCGATTGAGGGAGGGGATAAAATAGATGCCCAATATATGAGTTTGCTCATTAACACAGTAACCATAGATATTAGCAAATCATTTGATTAGGCGTCGTACTTAGGGCTTATACATGCTGCTTCCAATGTTAGCTTGAAAGAAAACCTCTAAGGCTGAATAAAGAACTTTTTGCTTGATCAAAGACAAAACGATGGTAAGACAGACATTATCTAGATGAAGAACGGGAATAAGTGGTGCACCTCGTGTCACCGTCCCTTATTGATATCTTTCTGATTATGGTGTAGAGGTAAATAAATCCCCAAAATCAATAGCTCTGTAAGTCTTCGACATTGAGTACTGACCACATTAGTTTTAATGGACTCATGTATCCGCACCAGATCGCGAGTGGGAACGCCATGCTCAACATCCCCTGCAATCGCTAGTCAGATTAGATCAGTCGATCCACCATATATTGGTAGCCTATCAAATATATCTTTGAACCTCCTCACTTCTGTCTTTTGACTTCACTTGGTGGGTACGATTCATATTAGGTGTTACTGGTTAGAGCGTTGTCAAACTCCGAATACCTGTGGCATCTTCAGACTGATGGAAAATCGAGAAAGTGAGACGCCATTTTACAATACTTCATACGCCTGACTTATCATATAGAGACATATGTAAAGCATGGAAACTTGGTCTCTTATGGTTAAGACGAATTAAGCTTAACCTTACTTTACAAAATTATATATAATATAACCATGGTAAATTGTGATACTTCAAAACTTGCCAAAACAGTAATTATGACCTTCGAGAACATGATTTGTGGTAAAGATATGTCATTGTAGACTGAAGTTTGGTCAGTTTTCGCTGACATTCTAAAATGTCGCAGCTATGGCTGCTCAATGGGATATTTGGTCATTTAATCATTTTTATGATCCTTGGAGTAACAATCCCTTATCATTGAGATTTTGGGAAAGTAAAACATTCTACGGCAAATCAGAATCAACAGTGCCACCAAATCTTTTGTATAATATCCTTAAGATAAAAATCCTGCTCAAATATATCCAAATATGTGGAGTACAATGTGGGAGACTGGGAGAGTCTTCCAAATTGCTGCAGAAATGAAGAGATACAACCTAGAGGTGCTTGGGATCAGTGAAACACATTGGACGCAAGATAAAAATCTTGTTCAAATATATCCAAATATGTGGAGTATGAGTTTGTACTGAGGAATCAGTTTTTTATCAAGGTTGTTTTCCACGGGGAATACTGACCCAATCACACTTGATAAAGAAACTCTGGAAGATGTGGAATCTTTCACGTATCGGCGCAGCATCATTAATGAACAAAGACGATCTTGTGCAAACGCAAAGGAGAGGATTGGCAAAGCAATGGCATCATTCCTACAGTTGGAGAACATATAGAACTTAAAACAAGTGTTAGTCAATATCAGAGTCAGAATCCTCAATATGAACGACAAAAAAGTTAGTCTTATTGTATGGAGCTGAAACTTGAATAAATGCCACAGCCATCATCAATGAGGTAAAAGTATTTATAAACAATCCTCTACACCAGATACTCAACATCCGTTGGTCAGATACCACCGGCAACATCCTGCTATGGGGGAGAACGAATCAGTATCTGACTGGAAAGGAAATTAGGAAAAGACGATGGAAGTGGGTAGAATATATATTATGAAAATCACCAAATTGCATAACGAGGCAAGCGCTTACATGGAAGAAGGCCAAAAAATACACTGCGTTGAGAACTGGAAGCTGACTTCAAAAGGATGAGTAGTATCTGGAACCAATTGGAAACAAAGGAGAGTCCAGGACAGCGTTCGATGGGAAAATTTGATGGGTGGCCTATGCTCCTCCACGAAGGTTAACAGGCGCAAGTATTTAATTACCTTTTAGTTACACCCCAGCTCAAGTCGTCCGGTCATTCATCCACACTAAATCATGAGTGAGCATATTGTACTACATATCCCTCGAAACTACTAGGCACCTTAAACTAAACACCTCACAACATATCGACAACTCTTCAAATATATTTTCTAACTCATCTGGTATCGTTCGATCGAAAAAAGGTGCTAGGGATAAAAGCGTTATTTGGTCCTAGATATCGGTGGAATCTTTACTTGCCATCATATGTCGGAGAAACGCTTTACATCATCCCATGCTGTGATCTAGTGTCAATGGTTAGTTGCATCCCTTTAGTTAGGAGTGCTCATTGAAATCAACACAGCAAGTATCAACTCCATGCATCTGAAAAATTTACTGCAACGCTACAACTTATTCGCATTAGGTCCTATTCTCATTCAAGGCCTCGTAAAATGAGTTTACGTTATACATGGACTATGTTAAAAAAAGCCCTCAGGCAGTGAACTTTCCTCATAGAAATAGGTCACTCTTTATGGTGGATTAGAGATATAAATAGAAAACGAGAACAGCGTGTTCGGCTGAAAACTGGGAAATTGACTCAAGGGCATCAGTACAAGAGGCATGGACACATTTAAGGCAGTTATACAACCGAGTAACTCAACCATACATACCCTGGAAAATCCCAAAGACGAAGAAGCACGGACATCCCTGGATAGGCAAGGATATTCGACGTTTACTAAGGCAAAAGAAGAAATGTTGGGATGTCGCCATCCGCCTCAGCACAGCAGGTACGATGGAACACTACAGATCGATAAGAAACAAGTGTACAGCAAAAATTCAAGAAGCTCAAAGAAAATATGAAATGCAGTTGGCCCAGTCTGCACTCAAACAGCCCAAGAGAATATTCACGTACATAAACTACAGAACAAGGATGCATCATTGGATTCTCAATCTAATTAAAGAAGGGAGGGAATCTGAAATGATAGAGAAAGATCAAGAAAAAGTAAAGGCTATGGCTGACTATTTTGGGGCAGTCTTCACTCAGGAACCTCCTTTTGACAAAGAACCAGACCAAAATAAAGATTCAATAAACCACCTGCTCACCGCGGACTTCGACCAAGACGATGTGCTTAAGGCTCTTAGAACCTTAAACATGGAAAAGTCAAAAGGACCAGATAAAATACACCCTAAAATCTTGAGACATATTGCACAATATATCTCAGCCCCACTTAATCAAGGTGTGTTACCTATGAACTGGAAGGACGCAATCGTCACTCCCATACACAAAAACAGGACCAAGACAAGTTCTATCGAACTGCAGACCTGTAAGCCTCACCAGCGTTGTAGTTAAAATATTGGAAAGAATAGTCAAACGGACAATAATCGAATTTATTGAAACAAATAACTTGTTAGACAACTAACAACATGGTTTTAGAAAGGGTCTATCCTGTACAACAAACCTCCTTATAGCAAGAGAATTTCTGATAAAGGCGCTAGACAGCGGAAACTCAGTGGATGTTGTCTACAAAGACTTCAGTAAGGCATTTAACATGAGGCCAACAAATAGACTGCTATTGAAGTTAGAAAATCCTCGTATTGCTGGACCTCTCTTAAAATGGCTTAGGGATTTCCTAGTAGGTCGTAAACAGAATTAGTGACAAAGTGCAAGTGCTTCAACTGGAGACCAGTGCTTAGTGGAGTATCTCAAGGTTCTGTCCTAGATTCATTTCATTTTATACCGTATGTCAATGATCTTCCAAGTATAGTACAGTTCCCAATGTTATTATACTCTGACGATGTACAAATCTTGCGAGTAATAACTGGAGACACAGACTCAGATGCTTTTCAAGCAGACCTAAATAATATAATTAACTGGTCTAAAGAGTGTCTGATGCCTATCAACGTTGCAAAGTGTGTCTACATACACTTCGGCGACTCGAATGTTAATAGGTATAACATAGGAGAAGTACAATTACCAGTGGTTCGGTCTCATAAGGATCTGGGGGTGACAGTGAGTCAGGATCTTAAGACGACGACCCATTGCCGGGAGGTCTCAGCTAAGGGGTCTCGGACCCTCTGGGCATTAAAACGGACATTCAATAAGCTAGCTACTACCATGTTCACCAAAGTATACACATCCTTAGTGAGAAGCAAGCTTGAGAACTGCGTTCAGGCTGCAAGCCCCTGTTTAAAACGTGACTCGGATATCCTAGAAAAAGTACAGAGGGCAGCTACCAGTGCAATTCCAGAACTCCGTGGTTTACCATACAAAGAGCGGCCTGGAAAGCCAGATCTCTCCACCCTGTTCTGTCGCAAATTAAGGAAATATCTAATTTTGATATACAGAATACTAAGAAATGATTTTGGACCTAACTTATTCTCTCTTTTTCTTCCCATTAGATCGTGACCTCTCAGAGGACGTAGCAGGCGAGTAGAAAAGCCAAGAACTAATAAAATACCCGTGGCATACAGGTTTTCACATCGAGTCATCAATACTTGGAACCTGCTGCCTGAAGCAGTGGTGTCCGCACTTTCGATTGACTCTTTCAAGAGAAGTCTGGGCATTCACAGAAACATACTAGAAAAGGAATAACATAGGCCGTAAGCCTTCTGTCCGTACTATACAAATCTGAAATCTGAATCTGTGTGTTCATAGAATCAAGTAAATATCCACCTAAACCAGATTGATAATTTATTTCATATAGCCAAATTAATACTTTAAACGATAAAATGGAGGGTTATATAGAGGCTTTTCAACTATTATTGGCAATAATCGACCATTTCACTTATAATTTCTCTTCAAAATCGGTGACGTTTTCACATTTAACGCAAAACTGACTTAAAATGAAAAGCAACGTTTCAATAGTATAAAATCATTGTCGCTTACAAATTCTGAGGAAATTTTCAACTTAACAAGATGATTGGCCGACTTATGGCAAAGATGGTAATACATACTTTCGTTTGGTTCATTTCATTAACTGGACCGCGCTTTTTAGTTGTAGTCGTGCTGAGATGAGGTTGTTTGTTCGATCCCACTTTGGTGACCAGGTCGTAATATCTGTGGGACCAAATGAGTCCGTGAAGTCACTAAAAGATAAAATTTCGGTTGTCACCGGCATACAGGCTACTACTCAATCCCTTTATCATCAAGGCTCTCCTTTACTCGATAGTGCATTTCTAGAAGATTTCGGTATCACCGACCTAGATAATGTCGACGTAAATTGTGAACTGCGAGGTGGAGGAAAGAAGAGAAAAAAGAAAAATTATACCACTCCGAAAAAGATCAAACACAAAAAGAAAAAAGTGAAACTCGCAACGCTTAAGTTTTATAAAGTAATATACTTCGCTGCATAATCTTGATATTTTCAGGTTGACTCAAATGGAAAGGTAACTCGGTTAAGAAGAGAATGTCCCAATGAGAAGTGTGGTGCAGGAGTCTTTATGGCCAGCCACTTCGATCGTGAATATTGTGGAAAATGTGCCCTAACATATAAACATGTGAATAAGTAAAAATAAAGTGAGAGAATTCGGTGTGAGCATTCTGTTATTCTTGTTGGTGGTGCGCACCAATCTCTCAACACATCGTGAATCTCTTATTATCTGTAAGTGGGGTACCAGTAATGTAGTTGTAACTTTCAGTCACTTTACAATTGTTCTCAATCCCACTCGTTTTAGTATTAAAAAATTCGTCTTTGTGTTAAAATATGAAAATCCAAATCACATTGACATCAGGATCGCCTAGTTTTGCTCAGGATTGTGTGTGTAATATAAGTGTCGGGTGAATAATCAGATATGCTTGTTGATCAGGCAGCTATATGTCAGACAATTAGTAACATGTTAATATGAGAGTTTAGATTATTAAGGCTTTTCATAAAGTGAATTCGTAGTAAAGAATCTATTTTGTCTACCCTACGCAAACCGATTTTGCTTTCCTTCCTATTGAGTTCAGTTTAGCATGTAAAGAACTCAGCTGTTGCTGTTTCAAATCCGCCTACTAATAGATTTATATCTGTCTTCACTCAGTCTTCAGTAGCAAGAATAGTAGGTTGGTGAACCCGTGTTAATCAAAACAGATTGCCTTTCAGTGAAGGTCCAGTTTCTCCTTGGAAATGTTCACTGATGGGGCTGATACCACTTGTTCGGGCAAGCCGTTCCAATCATTGACTACTCGATGAGAAAAACGGAACCCCACTTTAAGTTTATTAGATTGCGGTTTATGAACCTTTTTGCTATGACCTCGGAGACTATTAGTGCTGGGGGGAGCAAAAAGGTAAAACATTAGCACCCAAATCATAAAGATACGAAAGGCCAGTATAAGGTCACCTTGAGTCGAAAAGGTTTAGGCGTTTTAAACACTCATCGTAATGGAGTTTACAAAGACCCTTCACTAATTTCGTTCCCACACGCTCAAGTGACTTAGTATCCTTCACCAGACATGGGCTAGCTGCTTGGATACAGTACTCTAAATGTGGTCTTACATAGGTGGGATATAAAATTCGAAACATTTTCTCGTCAAAAGATTTGAACGCTAGGCGAAGTAACCATATCTCACGGAAGGCTTTGACAGCAGCTGCGTTGCAGTGCGTAGCTGTTTTCAAATCATGAGTTATTATTACTCCTAAGTCTTTATGTTCTTGAACGCATGGAAGAGGCTTGCCATCAATGGTATAGTGGTAACTATTGCCGTACCCGATGTGCATTAGCACACTTTCTAAGCCCCAACCTCCAGCCCATCTAACTAAATCGTCTAAGTCAGCTTGAAGATCCAGATGATCAGCCTCACTTTTTATTGTTCTCCAGATTCTTACGTCATCCGCAAATAATAATGTCGACGACCTAAGCAACAGCGGTAACTCATTTACGTATAAAAGGAAGAGCAGAGGGCCTAAGATGGTGCCTTGGGGTACACCACTTTTGACCGGCTTCCAATCGGATAGCGTCCCGTTGACCCTCACTCTCTGTCTGCATTTACATAAGAAGTTTCCTATCCACTCCTGTACAGTACCTATTATTCCAAAGCTCGTGAGCTCCTGCATAAGGCCTAAGTGTAAAACCTTGTTAAATGCTTTGCTAAAATCTATGAATATCACATCGACAGACAGACCTTTATCTAAGGCTGCTGTCCAGTCCTCTCTCGCAATAAGTTAGTCAAGCTTGAACGCTTGTCACGAAATCCATGTTGCTCAGGAGCTAACAGATTGTGTGAATCTATGTGGCTTAGCAACCTAACCTGAATTTTCTTTTCAAGTAACTTAACGACAATGCTAGTTGGACTGACAGGCCGGTAGTTAGATACGATCTGTCTCGGACTATCCTTAAATATAGGACTGACTATAGCATCTTTCCAATCCCTAGGTAGTTGAGCGAGTGAAAGGGACATGTTGAAGAGTGTCGCGAGCGGTTTTGAAATAATGTCCGCAAGAGATGACAGCAGCCGTTGATGTAACCCGGTGTCTTACAAGGTTTCAGGTTAGTTATCAACGGAAGGACAGTTTCCTCAGTCACTTGTACAGATTCAATGGCTGGTATCTCGGTGTGATTGGGACAAGTATTTGTACAATAAATGTAGAGTAGACTTCGCTAAAATGGTTTGAAAAAGTTTCAGCTTTGGCCTGATCTGATTCAGCTAGTAAATCTGAATTATTGTGTAACAGTGACGAGGGAATACCATCACTACGTTTCATTCGCCGTTTAACATACGAAAACTATCGTTCTGGACAAGTACGGCTATCATATGTCAACTGTCGTTCGTGAGTAGTACGGGATTTAGCTATTGTTTTCTTACAAATATTTCGGAGTTCTTGGTACTCACGCTTAAATGATGCATGACCTGTCAACAAGAATAAGTCCCAGAAGTGTTTCCTACGCTTTAACAGCTTACGGGTTTCCTTATTAATCCATGGAGGGCAATGCGATAGTTTACGTGCTGACCATGGAATGAACGACGACGTTACGGACTCGAACGTAGCCTTAAACTTATTCCATTCGTCTTCGATCTATCCATCTGCGTCAACTGACCAATCAATCGAGATAGCACAGTCTCTGATTGCCGGAATATTGGCCCGCCAGATATTGGGACGGGGTGGAGCAGATGCAAATCGTATACCATGTATCCTAAACTTAAAGTGAAGTACAACGTGATCACTGTTCACTATTGGGGAAGGTCAGTCAGTCAATCAGTAACAACGTGGAACTTCGTACGTACGTACATCAGTTCGAGCTGCCATACCACATTAGCACAGAGATTCAGTTATCGATTCAAATCCCGTAGTGGTAGAGGTAGTGATAGGGAACATTAGGGTTTGATGATGTTATTTAAAGAGTATAGTCCAGTGGAATAGATTTGGAAAGATAAAGGACATGAAGAATACAGAAGATTAGAGTTTGGGAGAATATATATTACCATCTTGTGATCTACAATCGCATTGTTAACAAAAGATAATATTAGAAAACATTGGTAAGCGATCTTGTTCTAATATAAACGTTCCATCAAATTTGCCGTACAGTTCTGTTAGAGCCAGAAATGTATCTGTGTATACGAATTACAGAAAAATCCAGTTTTGCTGGAAGGGTTAGCTGGGATTCGTCTACACTGTAAGAAATCGAATTGTTGTATTGTGCACTTCAGAAACTATGCGAAGCTCTGAGCGAATCGGTTCTAGACAGATTAGTGATTTGAGCTGTTTCAATTATTTTGGAAAGGCTATTAATTTTTAGCTAGCTTGGCGTGATTGGCTACCTTAAAGTTCTTCATCCAGCTCTAAAATTAGTGATGTCTATTTGTCGACTTGACATAATCCCTTCAAACTGCCTGCGTTCCTACTTCGTTCCGGGTTGACTAAGCAGATATCCCGTACATTGATGTGCTTGCCCAATGTTGTATTAAAGATATTAGCTCCCATAGTCGTCTACTGCTCAATTGGAACAGAGCACTGGGCAATGGAAGTTGAAACCAAACATCTACCCTCAACGTTTCGTGACCCTTAACTGCAGCTCGATGTCTGGCCCAGCAAACTACACTCAACTACGTTGGTTGACAGGTCCGTCGCCCATCAGATGTGCCAAGGATCCGGTCAGAGCCTTTTGAAAACTCAACTATATCGCCTGTGTATAATCCGGCGCTGACTACGTTTTTGTCGGGGCACCCACTATTATCGATTGCCGTGGACTGATTCTTAGAAATTGATTTAGATGATATGAAGTTAGGTGGGGATGACATGACTGGTGAAAATGTCGACAGAATCCTAACCCTTCCTCGACTAATCGTGCACGAACTTGCTAACTATGTCCTGAATATGTTGATGTGATATACTTAAAGTACGGAAAAATGTTCCAGATTGAGTTCACAAACGATCGTTCCAGTAGTCACCAGAAATAGTACTGTAAATACAAAGATAAGTTGCTAAGTAGATATTCGCTCCAGTTAGGAAGTTGACGAACAGAGTTTAGGGCATTTCATGAAATTAACAAAGGTTGATAAGCACTTAAGTCAAACAAAACAAAGTAACTGTTCCAATCATGTGAAGAGTCATTAATTGTCAGGATATGAAGGACTAAATGAATACAAATGAGTTCAATAGCCACTCAGGTCGCATGTAAGAGGTCACGACAGGCCAGTGTGGCGATTCGTGCATGTAAATGGATGTAGACTACTTGTGATAAAAATTGATGCTAGGAGACAGCTGACAGGAAACATGCTAATTATTATGTGAACAAAGGACTCAGTAGTCTGAGGTGTTAGTAGGCGAATGTCCGAAATATTGCTTCAGAGGCCGTTTAGTTCAATGCTAGGCTTGGCCATAGTGAAGTAGTCAATAGGAGTAGGAGATACGCTTGTCCAGGCATTATAAGCCCTGGTTAAGACGATGGCTCGAAAAATACCAACAGGTGCTCGTTCTCATTTGTTATATTGCGTGACCTGTAGAATACTAAGGGATAAAGATTAGTTCAGCGAATAGTTCTTTTGGTGAACTCATTTTCAAAGCTGTATAATCGCAAATATATAAACTTATTTTTTCAGGATGATAATAATTACAGAACAGACCAGATGTACGTTCATCTATAAATGGGCGAGTATATCGTGCAACACTATATTGCTATGAAACGTGGACCACTAGGCTATATCTATTTGGTTGTCTCCCTGAAGTATTACGTGCATATAGTGGAACCACTAAAAATGGGGCTGTGAAACCCCACTGACATGTCCTACATATGACTGGCCGACACAACTAAGTTTATTGGGTTTCTAATGATCTGTGAATCTGGTAGTTACTTCATCAGTCGAGTAAGCTCACTAAGTAATATTAATCTACTAAACATTAGATGGCCTGTAGATTCACTATGGGATAATAATCGAATTAGATCGACAATCAAGAGGGAAGAAACAGAATACATCGACACAACAGTATGGTCGCTTCTACTATCTAACTCCTTCATTCGGGTTATCACTTTTACTCATCTTGGTAATCCTCAGACGTTTTCTGTTTACTCGCATAGTTTAGTTTAAAGGGAATGGATCCTAAACTCCCGAAAGACAAAGGTCTAGAAGCATGTTGATGGAGCGTGGTAAATGTGCATTTGTTTCTGGAACACTACTGACACCTAAAAAGAAACAGAAAACCAACCTTCGTGATAAGAATCTAGTATTCCGGAATTTCAGTCAATTATATTGGTACCATTTTCATGCATCCTGCTGTTAAAGTGACCTACACCTTATAATAGCAATAATATACTAGCTTAATCTACGAAATTTCAAGGTAGCAGTTCACTATGAACCATCAAAAGAATAGATATTATCCGTAAGTAATCTGACCGACAGATAATACTCATGAATATTCAACGGAGTAGCGAAGTGGAATTACAACATATTCACAAGAAACATAGTGTTAATAAAAATGTATTAATAAGAGGAGAACTCAGGTATCTTTTAATACAAGAACAGTAAGTTTTCTCGCAAACTTATAGTTGCACAAGCCACTTATGAATTGCAGAAGCATTATTTGTAGCAGAAATTTCAACAAAATCCACAGGTAAACGACTTTTTGCAAAAGTGAAGGTCACTCCCGGCTTTGTCAATGTTGATATCGTGGACTGATCGAGGCCAGCAAGCGCACCAGTACGTGTAAATGTAAGAGTATTCCTGAGTTTAAAAATGTTACAAAAACATTCTATTAGCAGGAAGCAAACAATAGACGATATATATCTTCAAAGACAAAATGTAATACACATTAACGTGTTACGGTTCATCAGTTTTACCAATGCGCTATAACGTTATAGACGCTTTGGGAATAAGTTAAAAGCATGTGGTATATATATATTACTTGATCCACAGAATTTACGACCTGGTGCAAGTAAATTGTATTTATTACTGTTTAATGACAAACAGGCTATCCGAACATTCAGTCAGTTGATAATCAACCTCCCCAAGTATGACATGCGCTGTGTAAATAAATTAAAACTGTTAGTGGTCTATTAATAGTGAATCGTTGTATAAAGGTCCATACCTTTAGGCAGCTATCATTCTTGATGGTGTAACCATTAGCAATCAGTGGTGTCTATAATGCTACATTTTACATCAAAGAGTGAACAGAAAAACCAAGTGAAAGAAAACAAAAGTTCTAGCAATGGTAAGAAACTAGTTAATACTATGCCGACTAGGCTCAAACCGGATGATTGTGCTATGAATCCATCCATCATAAAAATAGAAAAGGAAAGTTTAAAACTGCTTAATATGAGTAAACTTGTCTAGACAACTTAAATGAAGGTTTATGTCAATAAATGTCAAACTACGTTTCATTGGCGACAAGTGCAACTCAACACGTGATTTTCTACCATCTTTATCACCACTTTCTAAACCTCAAATTTTGCAATACCAACAGAAATGCCACTATGTAGGCAGTGGACAAATGACATCAACAAAAGTCAGACGATAAGCTTTGGGAGATATATCAAACAGGTTTAGAATTGGGCACTTTGAATGTAACTCAAGAAAGACTTAGGTTTGATGTCAGATTTTTTCACCTTTTTTCGGGTGAGAAAGTTTTTGTTGACAAATTATATGAAATAATCCACCTAAGAAGGTCTTATCAGTTAGTAGTATGTTGTTCTGTAAACTAGTACCACGTAGACCAAATAAATGTCCACCATGGATAACTAAACAAGTCAATAAACTTCTTAGACGTAGGTAAAGCACTGGAATATTTTCATATCTACTGGCTTAGAACAGTATAGATCCAGTTATTGTAAGACTAGGAATGCTTGTAAAGCATTAGTAAGACCAGATGGTCATATGAAAAACAATTGGTTCAAGATTGTGAAAATAGTCCAAAAATATCGTCGTACACAAAATGGTGAACGCAGAGAAGTGATGGGTTCCTACCACTTTTGGTACAAGAAAATCAGTCGACTTCGGTAATAGATGGTGCTGAAAAAGCTGAAGATTTAACGGAATATTTTAAAGAAATGTTTTTTTACCGACAATGAGGAACGATCAATAGTTGATCGTGATCACGGAGGCTTGTTGATGGACCCTGTAGTTATTGAGAAAAAGTCTCAAGACTATTTCAGCATCTCAAACCTGATAAGTCCAGTGGCCCTGATAATATTCACCCTAGGATTATGAAAGCCATACTGTTTGATATGTCTCTGCAACAATCCAGACTGACAAGAGACTGAAAGAACGCAATAATTAGTCCAGTGCATAAGGCGGGGAGTAAAGACTTATTTACCTCCGTCTTCTACATTGATACCTATGGTTTGATGTACGATATTGTACCACAATCACAGTGAAAACGAAAGTGGATATCTGAGGAAAAAACGATGGGCATATCGGCACCTAAGTTATTAAGCGTGATTTAGAAAAGCTTTAATCACTATCTCTACCAAGTCATACAATGAAAAAAGCCACTTTATCAATCACATTTTATTCATGGTGTACAAACTGTGTTTTCTATGGCGAATCGCATTTGTACATAGTAGCCTATGAAAAGCTTCGTACTGTTGTAACATGTCTAGCTGAAGCTTTACAGTAAAAATTTAGAGGAATGTATAGAACCTATGTTCTAAATATCTGAATAAAGTGTCGGTGTGACCTGTAATTCGAAAGATTCTGATCTATTTATTCGATCGTGTCAATCTTTTCCAGAACCCCTTTGCTTACAGCATGATATAATCCAACCAAAAAAAGCTTTTAAACGCTAGAATGAATGAACAAATAAATTGAAAATTATCCACAAAATAGTTAAGATTGAATGACTTACAATTCTTTTTCAAGCAAATGAGTCACTACACTGACACCTTTTGCCGTGGTAGCATCTTGTTTATTGCAAGCTACTAGTAATTTTACGCGATTCTTTATAAAAACCTTATCCACAAGTATATTGTACAAAAACCTACAAAACGTATTGACAATTGTTATACAGAATAGGAAGACTTGCTCAGCAACATCTTTTACGTCACTCTGAATAGACTTTGAATCTATGACAAATACCAATGCCCTAGAACTAATTAGTAACTAACAAGACATACAACGTGTCCGATTTATATTTGTGAATTATCTCGTTGCGAACTTTATCATGTCCAGGAATATCTACAAGAACAAGGGCCTTTAAATATGAGGCAGGATTATCACTACTTTTTTATCTATTTTTAGATTTCCAACATTCTCTTTGAGAGATGTAAAAGTGGAAGATGGATTTCCATAAACAATAGATGAAAAAAGAGTTGTTTTCCCTGAATCACAAGCACCAATAAACAACACGTTTTTAAGTCTCTTTCTGAATGATAACCAATATAGTATAGCAGTTACAAAACACACAACAACAGCAATAATTATCGGATGCAACGAAGTGTCCATAACGCAATATGTTAAATTTGCGGCTGTTTTGTCACTATTACATAGGCAAACTGACAAGAGGCTGAAACAAATGTAGGTGAAATAGAAAAGATCTCGTCCAGTGAGCTTACTAGTCATGGTGCATTAAAAAAACAAGGATTTTCAAACCTGTTTGAATTAACTTTGCAACGAGTAATACTATCGTCAGAGGTTCGGTCAGTTTTAACGTTTTCAAATCCCTTCAGTTTCAGTTTGGAAAGGACAGGAGGCTTGATGGCCTGTGTTAGTCCTGGCAATTGTGTTCTCTCAGTTGATCCAACTTTCTTTTGAAAGAATCTACAGATGGAGCTTCAACCACGTGGTGGGTTAATGAATTCCACTCGTTGATGATTCGGTGGGAAAGTTGATAATCAGCTGACAAGTAATTTTTTCTGGGCTTGTGAACTTTTGTGAAGTGTCCTCGTAAATTCTCTGTTTTGGAAGACAGGAAAAATGAGGGCATATCAGGTGCGAATTTATCACTAAGCAATTTGAAAACTGTAATCAAGTCGCCTCTAGTTCTACGATATGACAAAGGGAATAGGTTTAGCTTGGCCAGTCGAGCATCATACGGAAGCTTCGCTATTACGGGAATCAGCTTAGTTGCTGTTCTCTGGACCTTTTCCAAAAGCTCACTGTCTTTTTTTAAGCAGGGGCTAGCCGCTTGTATGCAGTACTCAAGTTTAGGACGTACGAACACTGTATACAAAGTCAAAAACGTTAGAGCGTCGACATGAGTAAAAGCCCTACGTATTGACCATAAAGTTCTAAAAGCTTTGGCGGCTATTGCACGGCAGTGTGCAGTAGTCTTCAGATCTTGGCTAACGATGACTCCTAAGTCATTATGTGTCTGGACAACAGGTAGCTCAGAGTTATTCATCGTGTATGTATCTGAACCTTGATGACCGATATGCATCACAACACACTTGGAAGTATTTATCGGCAGCTGCCATGTATGAGACCATTCGGATAATTTTTTCAGGTCATTTTGGAGTTCTAAGCTATCACCCTTACATCGTATCGTTCTCCATATCTTGACATCGTCAGCATATAGCAAGACCGATGATGATAGTAAGCGAGGAAGTCCATTTACATGCAAAAGGAATAGCACTGGCCCCAAAACTGTACCCTGGGGCACTCCACTAAGCACAGTTTCCCAGCTAGATAATTTTGAGTTTACCCGTACTCTTTGTTGGCGCCCAACAAGGAAGTCTTCTATCCACGTCAATAGATTGCCTCCAATTCCGACATTTTTTTAGCTTATATAACAGCCGGTTGTGCGGAACCTTGTCAAAAGCTTTGCTGAAATCTATGTAAGCCACGTCTACAGGTATTTTTTGGTCCTTAAAAGCGCACCAGCTTTCTCGAGTGACTAATAAGTTAGTGAGACAAGAATAACCTATTCTGAAACCGTGCTGTTTCTCCGAGAGGATTCGGTTTACATCGAGGTATTTAAACAGCTCTTTCGGAATAATCTCTTCTAAGATTTTAACAACCACACTAGTTAGGCTAACAGGTCGGTAATTCTAAAGTTTATGTTTCGTACCTGTTTTGAAGACAGGACTTACTATGGCGTTCTTCCAGTCTTTTGGTAAATGAACCTGCCTAACGGATATCTTAAAGCATATACTTAAAGGGTTCGCAACGAAGTTAGATAATTCCTTTAGTAGCCTAGGATGCAGTTCATCGGGCCCCATGGATTTACCTATGTCAAGCTTATTTAGCAGATCAAAGACATCGAGTTAATTTATGGTCACGCTATCCAGTGTATGTGTGGGGGGGGTTTGTATGCGCTGACGGGAAGGGTGCTTCTATGGTATATACATTGCTAAAGTAGTTTGAGAACACTTGAGCCTTACCAAAGTCATCTTCCACTAATGATGCGGCAGTACTGTCTCCCCATAGTGCAGGAATAATTCCTCTTATTTTTGTCCTTTGGTTTATATAGGAATACAGGCGTTTAGGGCATTCTATGGATTCCTTGACAATTTTTTCTTCGTACAGCTCTCTAGACTTACGGAGGGTCGATGCACAGGTATTCCTAGCTTTTCGGTACTGAGATTTTGTCTCATCAGTCCCCAGTAACTTAAATCTATCCCACATTTTTCTTCTCTTACGGGGAAGGATGCGGATCTCCCTATTGAACCATGGTGGGGAGTTTCTCGGCCCCCTTGGTATAGTCCAAGCAATGTGGGGTGCGGTAACTTTTAAGTATAAATTTCGGAATGCATCCCAAGCCGTTTCAATTGAGGACTCTGGGTCTATTGTCCAATCTACTAATGATGCCGAGTGCATGATATCTTTTATGCTTGCTTTCCAGACGTTAGGTCTGGATTGAGTTGACGCTTGCTCGTGATTGACAGTTATATGGAAGTCAAAAGTTAAAACTGCATGATCACTTTTGCCTGGGGGTGGCATGTAAAGGAGGTTCGCAACGTCATCCTCATAGTGAGTTAATATAAGATCTAGTAAGGACGAGTCAGTGTCCGGGTCGTACCTGGTCGCTTCTTTCACATGTTGCACTAGGGCACATGTTATGACCGCATCAACTAGTTCCTGCTGGAAGGAATTATCTGATGATTCGGTTCGCAGATTTCCCCACTCTACCATAGGTGTATTAAAGTCCTCTAGGATTAGACATCGACCACTTTGCGACCAATTTTTGAGCCTGTTTAACAGGACATCGTTTACCTCACAGCTTGGACTGCGATTGACCAAACCAATTAGCAGCTCTTGCCCCTTGAATTTCAAGCGGCAACTAACCAATTCACACGTCCCACTATCATGGGATAAACTATCAATAATGACAAACGGGATAGCATTCCTAATGAATAGAGCTACTCCCCCTCCTTTACGCTTATGTATTCTGTCGATCCTTACTAAAGTAAAACCCTCAAAATCGAGCTCCATATTATCTATAGACTGTGTCAGCCAGGTTTCTGTGACTGTGATTATGTCTGGCTTTGTCGAGTCAATCTGTTCACCTAGTTCCGATAGCTTATTGAGCAAGCTTCGGGCATTTGTGTAACAGATCCTTAGGCTATTTGAGTGGCTTCGTGTTTCACCCAGAGTGGCTTCGCCATCATTCTCTGACGAAGCCTCACAACCCGAAAATTTACAATTTTCAGGTCCTTTTCGCCAGCATCTAACCTCAGTTGTAGTTCTTTTTCGGCTTCCCGTCTTTTTACACGGTCTGCCAACGGCAAGTCCTTTCGGATAAAAACTCCCGAACCCTTTAATTTATGTCCATTCTGCAAAATTAAGTCCCTTTCATTCGAAGATTTGAAAACTACTTTTGGCAGTCTAGATTGATTAGGCTTCAAGTTCGCTAAACTACCTAGTCTATACACGTTTAGCAAGGTGACTCCGGAGATATTTTGAGGCATGAGTTGATTAAGTAGCTGTTTTATCAGGACAATGTCATGCTCAAAACGAGTTTTTGGTTCGGAGCTTTCACTCACCTTGATCCTATGAAAAATGACTGATCTGTTACTGTGATCAGCCTTCGATTTTTCGACTTCTTTTGTGGGGGCAGGTTTCCCTTTTATATCGTTTTTCTGTTTCTTCCTCACAACCTGTACCCATTCGTCAACGTTGCTTGGAGAAGCAACCACAGTCGCGTCAAACATACTGTGGGATTTCGGAGGGTTTTCGATGACTTGGGAGATCAGGTTTGGTGTTCCTTTAGAAACTGATCGAGCCTTGCGGTTGCGGCTTCTATGTGTTTCTTTCTGGATACCATTTTGATGACGTGAGACAGAAGAAACTTTTTTCCTTGAGCTTTTTGTGCGGACAGAACTCTTTGGGGACTGTTCTTCCTCCTTTGGTCGGTGCGAGTCATCTGTTTTCGAACTCACTTTAGTTTGTTTCACTCCAATTTGCGTGTCAACGGAGCGAGTACTTGATGATGTGTCGCGACCACTCTTGCCAAAACATTTTTTAGCAGCACTAACCAATGAGATGGCCTCGGTTAGCAAGCTGTTAGCATCCGAACAGCACTGTTGACAGAGCCATACGCAACCATTCCTACTAAACCGTTTGAAAGCTGCAGGCGTTAAATTTGTGCAAACGTCGTGGTACCATCCTTTGCACTCATCGCACCGCACGCCGCTCTCAACAGGATAACGACAGCTCAGGCGTTGGCAATTACCTTTTTTGCACTGTCCAGTCATTTAAACACGGGTTCTTTAGAAAGAACTAGATGCAAAAATACTCAGGGACAAAAAATAATCTATGACCAAAATAAGTGGAAAACTGTGGATCGTTAGAACCAAAAGTACTAACAGATACTATAAAAAAACAGAGTACTCAAAAGTACTGACAACAAAACTACTTTAGAAACAAAAACGATAATCTAATCGAATACTTTAACTGAAAGAAACTCAATTAAAGTGAAAAACAGTAGTTTTGATACGCATAAACGATCAAAACAATAGAATTTACTCAACGAGGAAAAATACCACTGTCTTTTTTAGGTTTGCTATACTTCTGTTCATTACTTCTACCTGCCAGGGTATTAAGTGGTTTTGCCATTTTCCCTATCACTTATCGTAAGTTTTCTGCAAATTTTATCTGTGTTGTTCATACGAACGGTAAGCTTTTAATATCACGGATATATCATGCTTCACTACACTGTCGTCCGAAACGCCTTTTTTTACAAGTATTCGAAGTCAGATTATATCAGAATTCGGTAACGTAGGAATGCGAAGATTAATCTAGAAAATGGTTGATTTGTCAACATAAATGTGACCCATTAGGATGGTGGAGAAATATTTAGCTCAATCGGATGATTTACACGACGTTTTTTTCTGTGGGCTGGATGGTTTGGTCGTGGAGCTTTCGTTCTTCTTATGAAAAGTCTAATCAGTACAAAATTCATGTGGACATGAAGTGTTCGAATTTCTCCACATATGACTCACAACTTGTTCTGTCGACCTCGGTCTTGATTGGCTATTGCTGACCATTAACCTATCATTGTTTACTTCTTTGTTTTGATTGCATCTCCCATTGATTTTATATTTGGTCTTATATTTGTCCGTGATTTTTCCGATCGGTTGATAGACTAGATCGATTCAGTGTCAGTCGGCTATCAACAAAAACATCG